CAGGGTTTCTCCATGTTGGTCAGGCTGATCTGGAACTCCTGACCTCAGGTGATCCACCCGCCTCAGCCTCCTGAAGTGCCCTATTACAGGAGTGAGCCACCGCACCTGGCCCAAATTTTTTTTTTTTTTTTAATATAAAATGAGGCTGGGCGTGGTGACTCCCGCCTGTAATCCTAGCACTTGGGAGGCCAAGGCGTGCAGATCACCTGAGCACAGGAGTTTTAGACCAGCCTGGGCAACATAGTGAAACCCCATCTCTACAAAAAAATACAAAAAGTAACCTGTGTAGTGGCACAAGCCTGTAGTACCAGCTACTCAGGAGGCTGAGATGGGAGAATCGCTTGAACTCGGGAGATGGAGACTGCAGTGAGCCTTGATCACACCACTGCACTCCAGCCTGAGTGACAGAATGAGCCCGTCTGCCAAAAAAAAAAAAAAGAGAGAGAGAAAGAAAGAAAAAGAAAGAAAGAAAGAAAAGAAAAGAAAAAAGAAAAGAAAAGAAAAAAGAAGAGGAGAGAGAGAGAGAGAGAGAAAGAGGGAGGGAGGGAAGGAGGGAGGGAGGACCCAAGGAAAGGAGATAGGGAGGTTCCCACTAGTAAGAGTGGACTGGGGACTAGAGTTCTAGTCCCAGCTCTTGCTGGAACAAGTCTGTTGATCCCTCAGTCTTCCCATCAGTGAAATGGGAGGGAAAGTCTTGCTCCTCCCTGCGCCCCCCCAGCAGGGGAGGTATAAATGAACCCAAACCGTGTGTGTGCAGCTGCTGGTCTCCTTCCTGGCCGGCAACTCCCTTAATCCCATGCTCTCCTGGTCCATGCTCCTGGGGACTTCTGCTTCTCTTCCACTTCTGTCTTTCCCCGCTCCTGGCTTCCGACCCCGTCCATCAGTCCTCAGAACCCCAGATCACTCATTCTTGGCCCCTGGCCCTGCCAAGGGGCTTATCCACGGCTGCGTTTCCCCTCTGACTCTGGTCTCTGTGTCCAGTGCAACCAGAACAAATCAGACTGCTTCTACCAGACATACTCATCAGGGGTGGATGCAGTGAGGGAGTGGTACCGCTTCCACTACATCAACATCCTGTCGAGGCTGCCAGAGACTCTGCCATCCCTGGAGGAGGACACACTGGGCAACTTCATCTTCGCCTGCCGCTTCAACCAGGTCTCCTGCAACCAGGCGTGAGTCAGTCTTGCCTGGCTCCTTGCTCTCCTCAGGGTCCCCTTCCCTGGGTCAGCCTCACGCCCTGCATGGGCAGGGCCCAGGAAATGCTTGTTGACTAAAAAAATGCCAGTGCCGGCAGGCCAGGGGGAAGCACTGGCTTCGGGCCCACACCCTGCCCCAGAGTGCCCTGTGAACTCCTGCTGCTCCCTGCACTGCTGGATCTGAGGGAAGTGGCCTCACAGGATAACTTGGGAAGACTGGGGCTTTGAGAAACCAAAGGCTGGCAGCATGGGTCTTGGGTCTTATTTTGTTTTTTGAGATGGAGTTTCACTCTTGTTCCTCAGGCTGGAATGCAATGGCGCGATCTCGGCTCACTGCAACCTCCACCTCCCGGGTTCAAGCGATTCTCCTGCCTCAGCCTCCCGAGTAGCTGGGATTACAGTCATCCGCCACCACGCCTGGCTAATTTTTTTGTATTTTTAGTAGAGACGGGGTTTCTCCATGTTGGTGAGGCTGGTCTCCAACTCCCGACCTCAGGTGATCTGCCCGTCTTGACCTCCCAAAGTGCTGGGATTACAGGCGTGAGCCACCGCGCCTGGCCAGTGTCTTGGTCTTTCTAAGGCCCTTTTCTCCCTAGCATCAAAGCTCAAAAGGGCCTAGGAGGTCATCTGTCCCATACTCTGCTCCCGGAGCTGAGGCTGGCAGTAGTAGTGAGGTGGAGTTGCATGGGTTGAGGGACTTCCACTCTAGCTCTGTCAGTTGCTGGCCAGGTGACTCTGGACGTATCATATCATTCTTCAGAGCCTATTTCTTTGATTGCAAAATGGAAGTAAAACAAAAAATGAGATTCGTTCAATATTCATTCAACAAATAGTTTTGACCATCTGGGCTATGTGTCAGTCACTGTTCTAGGCATTTGGGCTACATCAAAGGAAAAACTATATAATTCGTGCCCCTTTGGCACTTTTACTCAAGTGGTGAAGACGATGACAATAACACTCATCTCAAGAGCTGCAGCAAATGCGAGATACAAACATGAGGGCACTTTACATTACAGACCGTGGTAAATGATGGGTTTCATTACTCTTGTACTCAAACAGGTGAAGTGACTTGCCCTTGGGAATGGGCCGGCCCTGGCTACGGATTCTTCCCACCCCACCGCCCCTCGGGCATTCATTCTGTGAGGACCCCTGTTA